CACACGACACAACAGTAAATCTGTAATAGGGCAAAAACCCACACACAATTCATAGCACTCAAAAAACTAATAATACTTACGCACGATAAATATATGACCTGAATCAACACTATAAAAGTGTAGTGTATCTTTCAGTTTTACGTGTAGATGAGGTCCGGTTGCGGTGTCAGGCCAAAGTGTTCATGACTTAATGGACTGAAACGTCTTAACTCAATATTTCCTGAACAATCTCTTAATCGTTTCAACGCTTTATCCTCCTGCCTTATCTTTTCGTTCAGTACAAATATTTCCCTGTACAATCCTAGTTCTACTTGCATACCGAAGAAACGTATCAACAAGGCTCTAGCAATCGTAAAGTTAAAAAGAAGAAGGGAAGTAGAGGGAGAGAGAGCAAAAAGGAAGAATATGAATCTGGAATTTTTCGGTCCATTAAGTCGTATTCATTCCTTTTCAGAACCACAACTGAATGCCGTCAGTGTGCCGCCCACAATACATATATATACATTTTGCTCGCAGGTTACTAGCTAATTACAATCGAACCCTTTACTCAAAGACAGATATTTTACGGCTGCATATCTCTTCCACGCCCTCTGCCTTACTCTTCATTGTTCAAGTGTTCTCGTTAGTCTGGCCTCAAGCGCGCTAATTACACTGCGCCTTACATACCTAGCGAGCATTAGGCTGTACTGGTGACTCCCGCTTCCATCCGCGACTGTTTCAGTGTCTGTGTTTACAACTAAGGGATGAAACGTAGACTGCACCTGGGCCTGCTCAATTTGTTACATGCAGTACATCGATCCACCGCTTCCCATTAACTGCACGTTCAAGAGGCCTGGCGTAAGCTGTGCTATGTGTATAGGAAGAAGCACCTCAGTAGCATCGCTAACCCCGATAGAACCCTTGCCCGGTTTTCCCTGGAACTCTCGGGGGAAAAATAACCAACCAAAACCAGTGCCCCCAACCAACCTCCCATCCAACAACCCCCAAAAAAAGCACCAACCCATCCACCACAACAACAAAGCAGTTACG